ACACAGCTAAATGTATCAAAAGTATGTCTACGTAATATTAGAATTTTCTGAGACAATGAATTTTTCTTTTTTTTTTTCCCCCAGTAAGAGGTTTTTATTTAATAGAATTTTTGGACAAAAATATCGCGATATATCGCCTTGCTTATAGTATCGCAATATATCGGGATATATCGTATCGTGACCCCTCTGTCATGATATGTATCGTATCGCCAAATTCTTGCCAATACACAGCCCTAATTAAGAGTCATAGTTTATGATTGTCATTCTTTTAATACGTGACTGAAGCAGTTTCACTAATTTTATCTCATGACTACTGTTTTTTTATTTGAGATTTTAGCTAGTTTAGCTAATTTAATCCAAAGTTTAGCTAACATTTTTAGCAACAGTTTTGCAAATTTCTATGTTTAGCAACTCTTTTGCTCAAACTAGATTTTAGCAACAGTTGAGCTCATTTTTTTTTGCTTAGGTTTGGTCATTTTGAGCTTCAGGTACAGTTTTACTAATTAAAACGTTTAGCAAATTATGTCTTGTTTAAAAATTTGTTAATTTTAGCTTTTAGCTATTTGTAGTTTTTAGCAAAAATTTCGATAATTTTAGCTTTCAGCAAGTTTTGTTGATTTGAAATTTTAGCTTGCTACTTTAGCTACTTTTTCCAGTGTTCTGCCGACATTTTTWGCAATACTTGTGCAAATTTCTGTTTGTAACTAATGTTTTGCTTAAATTAGCTTTTAGCGACATTTATGGTAATAGTAGTTTTTAAGCTATTTTGCCAATTTTAGTTTTATTCAATATTTTATGTAATTGTAATTATCTACAGATTCAATATTATGCTTAGCTATGATTTCGTTTATAAGAACTTAGCTTGATTGGCTCAGTTTACGTATTTACATTTTTTTTTTCAAATTTGAGTTTTTAGCTACTGTTTTGCTCTTTTTAGCTTTTAGCAACCTTCTAGCTAACTAGTTTTTGGCTACTGCTTTGCCAATTTGTTCTTTGATACACTGTAAAGTACTCAAGTCACAAAAAGCATAAGATTCTCATTTTTTCCTCAATTTGTGACGATCCAGCTCAGCAGCATGAGAACAAATCAAATAATAATTTAAAAAAAACAATTTGTAATAAATCAGTTTTTTGGTTAATCATCAGGATTATATCATCTGCAAACAGCTGAGTCAGAGAAACTCCACTTAGAACCGGTTTTAGGTGTTAAAGGTGATCTTAATTTGACTGCATCCTCTCCAGCTGTCCCATGGGACAGGAAGTGTAGCTTTATGACATCATCATCATCATCATCATCATCATCTGTGACTCCGGACTGAAGGTAACAGTTTGGAAGGAATGCAGATGTTGTCGTATGGTTTCATAAATGCAGCAATAACTGTCATGGTTTGGACCTGAAGAACTGTGGGAAATAAAAAGGTTTGTGGCCGATGAGAGAAATGGCTGCAGCTGTGACATAAAACAGAGCAGGTGTAGAGGGGCGTGGCAGGCGAGTCGGCCCGTGTACAAACGGTTCAGGACCAAAGTGATTCCTGAGCAGAGGCTGGTGTCGGCTCTGCCTCCTGATCCCAGCAGCAGCTGAGGCCCTCCAGATGACTGCTGTCACTTCCAGCACCGCCAACCTGGGTGTTACGGCCAGAGGTCTTTCTTCTATGTTTATACTAAAGCATGGAATGACATTCCTYAAAACATAAAGTCCATTTCAAAACTACAGCCCTTTAAGAAGAATGATKATGTGATTGTGATGCTGTAATTCTGAGTGTTTTATGTGCTGCAGAACAGGAACCTGCTGTAAAACAGCAATTATGCTGAGTCAGGCTTGATTTTTTTAGTAATCTTTTCCTGTTAAATAAACAAATCAAATCAAATCAACCGGAGGAACAMCTGATCGGCTCCTGCTGCTGCCGCCTGTGTCCTCGGCGTGATCTTCATCATCACCATCYGGATGTCTGGACATTCAGCTCCGTCCTGACAAAAACTTTGTTTCAAACAAAGCACTGCTCWGTTTAACACACTGAAGTCAGAGGCACTGAAAGCTCGTGTCGGGTTAGGAAGCGTTCATGGAAATACGTTTTTAAATAAACATGACCTGTGGAGACGAGAAGCTTATAAAAGACAAACGTTGTAATAAAGAGATTCGGCTGAGGAGAGGCTGTTCTTTTTAGCTCCTCACTGCTGACAGCTGCTTATTATCTTCTTCATCGGCTCGTCAACAAACGCCTCGCACATTTCCACACAGAGATGACGTCACGAGCTGTCAGGTCATGTGTAGAAGTAGTGAAGAATATCTTACCTGCTGCAGATACCTGTTGGACAACAGTTTTTCTGAACGGAGTGATGAGCTAAAATATTTGCTGTTTTTTTAAAGAGGCCAGACGAAAGTGAAAACATCACAAAACTTTTGTTGACTTAGTTTTTCATTAACTTCAAGCTAGCTATCTTTTTGCTACTTTTGACGTTTAGCTAGGTATTTTCAACTTTTAGCTTGTAAGCACCATTTTTAAGCTTATCTTTTAGATTTCTACTGTTTTACTTTTAGCTTTAGATGTCCTTGTTTCATTTATTTTATAACTACAGCTATGCCAAATGTAGCTAGCTCTTTGCTAATTTTAGCTTTTACCTAGTTAGCCTTTTGTTACTTTTAGCTTTTAGAGAGCCTTTTAAGTTTTTACTACTGTTTTGGTACTACTAGCTTTAGGCATTGTTTGTTAATTTTTGTTACAATTTTGCTAATTTTAGCTAGTTTTTCATTACATTAATCTTTTAACCAGCTACTTCTTTGGCACTTTTAGCTTGTTAAGGGCTTTATTAGCTTTTGTAGAAATGTAACTTTATTCTAGTTATCTATTAAGTAGCTAACCTGTTGTTACTTTTATCTTTCCATTTGGCTACTCACTGTTGTAGCTATCCTTGTTTTTTTAAGCTACCGTTACGCTAATTTTAGCTAACCTTTTACTACTTTAACCTTACTACTCAGTTACTTTTAGCTTGTAAAGGGCTTTATTAGCTTTTTGCAAGCCTTTTTACATTATTCTAGTAACCTATTAACTAGCTAGCCTTTTGTTACTGTTAGCTTTAGCTAGCTATCTTTCTACGGTTTCACTTACAACAGCTGTAGCTATCCTGTTTTTTATTTTGAAGTGATTGTTTTGCTACTTTTAGTTGGCTTTCTACAACTTTCACATTCTGGTTAGGTAGCTTTTTTCTGTTTTTAGTTGTTTAAAGTGATATTTTAATTTTTTATTTTTATTTTGACTGCTCAAGACTTTAAATGTTKAAGATGTTCAGTCAAGACTTGAAGCTTTAACAACAAAAGAGCATGTAGAAAGGCTCAGTTACAGTCATGCTTTGTGTACTCACGCAGTGCGCACCCTCGTCAGCGGTGGTGTTTAAACTTGGCGCTCACATTGTTGTAGTTGTTGTTGTTCACTTTACAACCTGTGAAAATGATCTAAGTAGGAGAGCAGAACTTGACAGATAAACTGAACGTTGTGCAGCGAGTGCAGCCTTTGTGGAGTTACAACATTTTGGAGGTGCACGACCACACGCCAGGACACTGCGTCAACTCCATACACCCACAGTGGCACAATTGTTCATTTAAACAGACACAGGGAAGATTTTATAAATAAGACTGATACTCTATGATACCATTTATTTTTATTAAAGTTAAAAAGATTTTAAAAATCAATAAATAAAAGTGATCATTTAGGAGTAAAACCTCAAATAAAACATGAAAAGGCTCAAACAGGCTCTGGTAAAATAAACCATTCAAAAGGTTTAMCTTCTGTGAGAAACACTAATAAAGCAAAATAAATAAAATAATCACACACATGCAGCCCAACAAAACACACAAACACCCTTTRTGCAACAAACTAAAACTCTAAAAGACCAGTTTTCCCTGCCGAAGATCATAACTAAACAAACTTGATTTATTTCACAAGATAAATATTTTTGCAACACAAACCTCAGAAACAAAAACAAACATTTAGCTAGGCTAAGTGTAGATTTTAGGTAATTTGCAGATCACATCTTTTACCAACTTATTAATATTTTAAATACAGTTCTGTTATTTTTAGCTTTTACATACCTGTTTGCTAATTTTAGCTTCTTGCTACAGGTTTGAAAATTTAAGCTTTAACTACCATGTTGTCAATTTTTAAAAACCTTAGTTATGTTTTTATCATCTGGTTTTAAAAATAGCTACTATTTAGCTAATTGTAGCTTTTAGCAACTGTTTTGTTAATTTAAGATTTTTGCTACTTTTAACCAATGTTTTACAATTTTTTTAAACAAAAGAATAAGCTTTACGGTAGTTGTTTATATACKTTTTGCTAACTTTAGCTTTTAGCAACGTTTCAGCTTCTTGTTTTTAAAGTTTCACAAATTTGAGTTTTTAGCAACTGTTTTGCTCATTTTAGCTTTTAGCATTATTTAAGGTAGCTTTAGCTTTTAGCTACAGTTTAAAATTTTATTTAAGGTTTTAGCTAAAGTTTTGTTTAAAGTTTTTCGAAGATGATTTAGCTTGTTTTGCTGCTAGTTGTTATTAGTTACATATGGTTTTGCAAATTTAAGTTTTTAGCTTCTGTTCTGCTCATTTTAGCTTTCAGCAACATTTAGCCACTGTAGATTTTAGCTACAGTTACAATTATTTCAACTACTAGGAACTGCTAATAAGCTAATTTGAGAATTTAGTCAACCCTCATTTAGCCAAATTTATTTTAGCAACAGATTTGCAAGTTTAATTATTTAAGCAACAATTTGCAAATTTCTGATTGTAGCTACGATTTGCTAAGTTTAGCTGTTAGTTTGTTTAAATTTCAACACGGTCATCCAACAGTTGCCGTGTTTCTGCGGAAACCTTTAGAAGGAATCARGAGAACTAAAACATCAATTTACGAACAGACTAAAACAAGCTAAAAGGCCTGAAAAATTCAGCCGAGACACGGCTCCACCCTGCTGCGAGCAACTGATGCTAACGGTTACAGATTATTACAGAATATATAAATCATCTCATTCTGATGGTTTTACTCATTTTGTTTTAGAACAAACAGGTGTTTTCACATTATTGGGTTGATTTTACGTCATGTTTTTATGAGTCTGGTCAGACAGGTAGTTAGACGTTTTAATAAGGTAACATTATTATTATTATTATTATCATTATTATTATTATTATTATTAGTATTATTATTATTACTCATTGGTGGCCAGCGCTAATCCAAAAATTAGCTCCGCAATTTCTAAAGCTCTTATGAAAAATGTTTAGGTCCGCAACTTCAAAAGCGCTTATGCCATAGCAAAACTAGCGGAAGCTAATTTTAAAGCGCAAGTTCAATTTGACACTAACTAGCTGACAACAATTCATGTACAACAATTCATGTACAATATATGTACCTTGTACAGCTTAATATTACAACCTTAATATTACAACTGCCGATTGCTGGGGATGTGATTTCCTGAAACAGAACTTTGGCTCCTGGTGTAAAAATTAAAAAATTGTTTAGGATTGCTAGTTCGGCTGCTTCTTTGTCTTTTTCTTTAGTTTGTTGTAGATTTTTCATTAAAGAAGCATCAATAAAGTAATTTTAAAACTGTTTATTGGAAAACTGAAGCGATGCATTCTGGGTACATGACAGATTTGATTTGTGACGGGAAATGAAAGCACAGAGTACAGGAAACTATCTTCCCTTCAAAATAAGAGCTTGGATTTTAAAGTTTTCTGTGTAGTTGCTCCAGTTGACCACTAGATGTCAGACTAACCCCATTGGCGGATTGCTTCGACCAATTACATCAAGTATTGAGCTCCAGTTTTTAAACCTTTTTTTAAAGGAGCTCCGATTGTAAAGTAAAATAAATCAATACATAAAATTTTTTAGTATGGATTACAAACGTTAACTGTTTTTACCGTTGCCTTCCTGCTACGTAAGCAGACACAAAGCATTGTGGGAAATGAGAACCGTGACTAAGCAACAGTCAGCAGGATGTATACCTTCACAATAAGTGTGTTTATCTGGGAGGGGTGCTGTTAGATAGATCACATGTGTTGTGATTCATTGACAGCCATACCTTCTGCTGTTCAACATAATGATGACTGGTAGATAATTAGTTATTAGCGGTACTGAATTTTAATTTTAGAAAGCGCAAATCTGCTTATGAATTATAAAAATTAGTAAGACCGCTAAAGCGCAAATGAAATTTTTAGGTCCGCAATTAGCGGATTTGTGCTTTAACGGGCTGGTGCCCACCACTGTTGTTGTTGTTGTTGTTATTATAATAACTCAAGCTATTCAAAGGATAAAAACGTTACATCCAGATGTCCCTCAGAAGTCCAGGGTGTCTCGTTGGTGCTGCAGCCGCGGGCTGTTCTGGCTGTAGAACTGCTGGTACCAGCGCCGGTGCTTCAGGATGGTGGAGTCCTCTTTCACCAGCAGAGGCTTGGAGATGTACTTCTTGTTGTTCCAGATCATCACGTCACGCTCAAACTGAGAGGAGAGGAGGAGAGGGTTTATAACAAAACAACTGAACAAAATACTAAAACCAAAACAAACAAAAAACAAAAACAACACTCCAACAACAAACAAAGCAAATCCTGGGCTCTCGTCTAACTCTGGAACGTTTCACATCTGATTTGTTTMGATGTTGATCAGACGTTGAACCTGTAAATGAAACATGGCTCCCTGGGCGGCGGGTCCAAACCTCACCTGGATGCTCTCGGCCTTCAGGAGGAATTTGGGAACCGGAGGCGGGATGCTGGTCTGGTAGAACATGGTGTGAGTCACGGACTGAAGCAGGGGCTCCACGGGCGTCAGGCACTGCAGGATCACACCSCGACCCAGAAAACTGTGAGCGAACCGCAGGAACACCAGACCTGGACCCATCTGAACACAAACAAACAAACAAACATAACAAAACAAACAAAACAAAAACTACTTTTATTCACTGGGTTCCATTTATCCTCTGCAGGAGAAAACAACACATTCTTGGCTGCAAAGTTGACTTGATTTTAAGTGTTTCAGCGCCCTCTGCAGGCTGCAGCAGCTCAGTAACATTCAGGGTAAACATTTATTTACACAAACATAATGAAAACAAAAATAAACATTTTTAACTTTAGAGAAAAGTCAACATAATCCYGCTGATTTCACATCAGATGGTCATTTTCAGTTTGGATTTGCAACGGTTTGTTTCATCTTTAGAAATAAAAAAAAGWGACTTTTATGCCCTGAACCACTGATCATCAACTGAAGGGTCGTGGRCCATAAGTGGCCCATGGGAGAGCCTGTTCTGGCCTGATGAAAAGAGCACATCCATACCTGAAAAACTTAAGCCTACATACAGTATTTGAAAACATGCTGTGAAAAAATATATGTGACTTTACGACAAATTTGATAAATTCATGTAAACGTAATATTTTCTGTAAGAAATAAAACAGAACACAAAGATCATAATAAATAACAAATAAGAGGACATTTATCT